CAGTAATGAGACTGTTTCTAAGAATGGCTGAACCATAAACAAACACAGGCTTGAAGCTGCTGGGTGTACTCTGGATAATAATGGTCCTAAAGTGATACAATGCCTTCATCATTTGCTATGGCTGAAAAAATGAGAGTCCTTGGCAGTGCCCACGTTTTCTAACAGTTCCACTCTACTGCTCTCAAACCCAAGCTGCCTTGATGCCCATGAAGCCTTATCTCCCAGCTTTGCCAACCCAGTGGTGAGCAGCAGCAGGAAGGCTGCACTTCACAGCGAGGAAGAGGCAGAGAACTTTGTGCTTGCCCCTTTATGGAGTTTATCCAATGACTCATTAGCAAAACCTTTCCAATTTTTTTGCTTGGGACCACGAGGGGAGGAAGTTGGATTGTAGCTGCTGGAGGAATGGGCATAGAAACATGTGTGAAGTTAATTAGATTAATAACTCTCTGCGACTTTTGCAGTGTGAGTGGAGAACCCACTGCTGTTCATCTTGGCATACTTGAGGGAAGAGCCAAGAGACAGAGAGGAGGAGTCTCTGTGCCCTGTCCTCTGGATGCTGGGGGCTACAACCAGGGCTGGCACTACAACTGCCACAGACCTCAAACCACTTAGAGCAGACTAGCTGAAATGTGCTGGCATCTATAGCTGTGCTGTGGGTTTCACTGAAAATCACTCTGTTTAACCATCTTTTAATCTCTGCCAGCCTCACTGCCCTGTCCCATCATTCACTGTCCTCTACAAACCTTGGAGTGACAGATCTTGAAGACTTCACTCCGGATGATGCTGCATTCTTTCTCCGCCCAGGACTTCCGATGGGGTTTCATATCACAGGGCTTTATCTCTTGGGTGACATCTGGGCACATGGGAGACTGTTTCCAGGAATTCCCAAACTTCAGTGCATTGGTCTCCTGCAGCCCACTCCTTGTTGTAAAGTCATTGCTAGACTTGTCGTCGAAGTTGCCACACAGACCACACAGTTTGGTCTGGAAAAGAAAATTAACATATCCACAGCTTTTAAATATCCATGGAAGGATATAAATATACCATGGAAGTGACAAACAGGCTAACACAACATTAAAAAGGACAAATCACTTTCCATGTATATGATGTATTTTCTTCCTTACTTCCAAATCATTTGTATGGAAATAAAACCTTTATTTGTCTGTGTACTCAGCAAATTATTCATCTGTCTTGTCTTCAGTCCTTGAAATCAATTATATTTAGTGTATTTCCCTGTTTCTGTGGTGGCTCTTCATCCAACTTATACCCCTAAAGAGGAGCTAAGCCTCTCTCAGCTGAGAAGATTTTATTTTCCATTCTTCTCAATTTATCAGAACTCAGCTATTAACTCAGGCCTGAGGGAAATACATGCTGCTCAAAACTGTTTTTATCAAAAGCTTCTAACATAATGAGCACCATTTCTTCAACCATGGGGGGAAAAAAATGACAGTGACTCATTTTTCTTGAAAGAAAATGTAGCAACTTAGGCACAATAGTGAATTTTTGGCAGTGCTATTTAAGGTGCTTCAGCTCCCCCCCGGACAACACTCTGTCCCTGTTTGTAGAACCCTGCACCTCCTCGTTCAGCCCAATGCATTCAATCCTCTACATCTCAGCCTGCTGCTCTACACAAATCAGAACCATCTCCATACACTGCAGAGGGAATTTGGGTTTAATTCAGGGTTGAGATTCCATACAGGTTTCCCAGTGTATGTACAATCAGTTTGCATCCCCCAAATTAATTTGGATGCTTGGCTTTTAATGTTCAGAAACTCAGAATATCTTAGACATTGATTTATTGCAGTCATATGCAGTGTATCCTCTGCAATGCTTTGAGAGGGACTGGGAGGATCTCCAGCAGCTCCTCTGCAAGCTGTGATATTGATAACACAAGATAAAGTGCAGAGGATATAGGAAATAAACACAGAATAAAAGAACATTTACGTTCCCATATCTGATAGATCTATTGACACTACGACTTCAGAAAAAGACAGACAGGTCCTAACTTTGTAATCAGGGGTCAGCTTGATGAAGAGAGTCGTCTTCCTGTCCCAGATGAGCATCACACCATTGCTAGCCTCGATAACGAGGTAGAGCCCCACTGTCCTGTTCCAGTACCGCACGTCATCCCCAACATCACGCTGGATTTCTTTGTAATCCTTGTTTTCCAGCTTCAGCTCCGTTTTCTGAAAGAGAAAAAGATATATTATGACATTAACTTTTATTATGAGATAAAATATTAGATGCTTGGAACAATACTGAAAACAACAGTTCAGAGCCTGGGGTGATTGTCCAGGATGACAAAAGGGGACGTAGCACATTTATTTGAGAGAGATTTCTGAGAATCTACAACCTTTAAAGATTGATTTGATAAGGTCTCTAGATTTTAATTATTACAGTTGTTTTTAGGGATGTGGCCTTGGAGCACGATTTTTTTAAAATGCTTGAATAGTGGTATATACTCACTGAGTATCGTTACTCACCCCAAGAAACATCTTAATAGCCTTTGAGCAGGTGACTCCTGTAGTTCCACAGGGAACATTCTCTGTGATGATACTGAACGAGCCAGTGGAATTGTCACCACAAAAATCCTGTTGAAAAACAGGAAAAAAAGGAGCATAAGAAAATTCAGTCGAATATTCAATTTTTAGTTCATTTTTATAACAGTTGCAATCATATAAATCTCCACAACATATAAATCGTTACTGCTGCTTCATATGTCAAATCCTACATACATATGTTTTTACACATGTGAACATATCCTAAATCTGGGAAACAAGGGGAACAATGAAATAAAATGAGGATTCTTTAAATATAAATGTCTTTGTTTTGAAAAATTAGAATTTTGATTGATTTCAGACCTGGTAATTAGCTGCTATCTCTCACTGTAAAATAGTTGCATACAATTTATGACCACTGTATTGGAGAAAAAAACCCAACTTATTCACACAGTTTGCCTGCACTGAAAATACAGAATTTTTCTTGGGGGAATGTGTAAACACCTCAGGGACAGGCATGGCAGGGAATAAGGAATGACAAAACCAAAGAGGAATCCACTTCAAGGCACTTTGATGCCATTTCAGGCCTCCTGATGAGCATTACCTGTGTAGCCACATATTCACAACTCCCATCAAAGTCATAGAATTTTCCATCAAAGGTGATGTAGTGGCCACTTCCATAGATCATACACGTCCCATAGCACACATAATTCGTGCAGCTCCAAAATCCTTCTTGGCAGGTACTAGAAGAGAGCAGAAGAGTTGAATTTTCAGATCTCACCAAGAAAGCTGCAGAGCAAACCAAGCAGCTGCCTTATACAACCATGGAATCACTATGGTTGGAGAGGACCTCTAGGATCACCAAGTCCAACCCTCATCCCAGCATCTCTGTAACCACCAGACCACAGCCTCAAGTGCTACATCCACTCATTTTTTGAACCCCTCCAGGGATGGTGATTTCACCACCTCCCTGGGCAGCCCATTCCAGTGCCTCACCACTCTCCCAGTGAAGAATTTCTCTCTAATATCCAATCAAAACCTCCCCTGGCTCAACTTGAGGCCATTTCCTCTCATCCTATCATCAGTAATTTGGAAGAAGAGAGTCTCAACTTCAGTAGTGTAAAGCCTATAACATGATTTTTGTCTGTGGTCAGCTACATGTTTTTAGAATTTATATTTAAGACAGAAAAAAATGAGTGCACTTTCCCAGTAGAAGACACCTGCTGAGAACAGAGGTAGCTATTACCCCAGTATTTTCAGCACAAAGTATGCCTGAAAACAAAGTTTTATACTTGCAGCTCTCACAGCCACTGCAGAACATAAGCCTAGACATAACTATTCATTTACTGCACAAAATATATCCTAGAAGACAGCACAAAATTAGAGCTCACCAAGTGTTGCAGTCTGCAGTCACCTTCTGTCCAGGAGAATACCACTGGTTGTTATGGAAGCAGGGACAGTCCTTCTTCTGAACACAGCCCCCTCTCCCATCATCAAAGAGACCTTCAGGACACACACAGCCCGGGACACACTCTGTCTGGTACTAAGAATTAGAAGAAGAAATCATCCCGTGATGAAAAATCACTGCATTTTAATTCTGATTCTTCACAAGCACTCTGGTATCAACTGCATTTATAACCAAAGAGCCTAATATTTAGTTCTCTAAGGTTTTTCTTTCTAGGTTTTTAATGTTTTTCTTTTCTTTTTGTATTTTCTAAGAAATGAAATCAGATTTTACTTGGGAGGCACGACTCTACTGAAGACAAGTAAAAAGAAAAAGGAGAGGGAAATCATAAATGGAATCCCCATGAAATAGAGACAACAGTAGTATCACTGTTGAGGAAAGAAAGGAAAATAAAACCAAAAAGGAATAAACTGTTAGCTGCAACTGTGTTTTCTGTGTGGCACGGTGTCATTTAAGGCACACAGAGTAAAAGAGACGTGGCAGAGAGGAAAATTGAACACGTACGTATTCGGCTTGGGGAGCGTGACAGCTGAGCTGGGCAGGGGTTTGTGAGGTTCGATTTGGGGAGGTCTTGCAGTCAAAGTAAGTCTTGCCAGGAGAACACTCTGGGACACCTGAAAGGTACGTTGTTGGGTTAAATAAATCAAGTAAAGGCTAAAGAAACCTATGTGAAAGGTGGTGATTACCGAGGCATGGATCTCAGGGTATGACTCCTCTTGCAAAAACAAGAGCTGGTGAAGACAGACAGTGAAAGTGCACAACAGTTTCACAGCAAAACAGACAAACAAAACAAATATGTGAAGGATTTGCATGGAAAGTGCAGATTTGGGGTTGGGTTGTGGTTTTTAGTTTATTTTACTTGATAGACCATCACTTACTTTTCATTCTTATTTTCACTGATGTGCACTGGATTTCTGCATTTCGGCAAACACTAGGAAAGAAGGGAAGTAGAAATTTTTTTAATCATCAGTGTCTTTAATTTAAATCTAAGGATTTGTTTATATATATTGGAGAGTGTTTATCAAAGACTTCCTGCATAATTTCTACTGCTCTTTCAAGGTGCAGTCTATTAAAGCTCACTTGTGAATTTTCACTTGGAGAAAAAGCATAGCAAGATTTCAGGCATAATGCACAGAAAGATGATGTTTTAAGGAACAGTAGATATTCTATTAACCCTTAGCACTATGCTTTTTGATGGCTCAGGAATGAGATAATAATGAAACAGAAGATTAACTTTGGTCAAAGCCTTCATTTGGGTACACAGTATGTTTTCATGCCTATTCAAATCCTAGGCTGCAAATTTATGGGCCTGTGTGCTTCATCTGCTGGATGAGACAAGGAAATGTTTCACAGTCTGTGCTGATGATTCATACAGCAAACACTTGTCAGAGTTCATGAGACAAAATACCAGAATCATGACTGTTGCTTTCAAAAGCTTGTGCTACAGTAAACACACATCAAGGGACCTTCCTCCAAGGAAAAACACAAGCAATTTGTCTCTGACAGAAAAGGAAATAGCAATTATTGAACATTAATAATATTAACATAACATTATAACATCAATAGCACTATAGCTGGCCTTTCATCTTCCTTCTGTCCCCCTGCCCAGCAAAGCCCTATTCACAGTGCAGCTCCAGAGTAACCTTTCTCTGTGAATTCCAGTACTCAGACTCCAAACAAAGCCACAATTCTCAATTATTAATCAATGACATTGCAACAGGCTGATGCTTTGCTCATGAAGACATCGTGAAACGCAGTAAAAATGTTCATTAAAGCACCAAAAAAAAAAAAAGCTAAGCAGCTTAGACCTCGTAGGAAATTTTGAAGGGCTTTTATCCCCCAAACCAAGAAGCCACAATAAAACTCACCAGCGTTCTCCATCTTTTGCCACATATTCCCCAGGTTCCAGGTATGACCCTTTGTAATAACACGGGCACTTGGAGATGGGCACACAGGTTCCCTGGTTATCCAGGTAGGTGTTATATGGGCAGCCACAGCCATCCACAGGAGCAAAGTCTTGGGGGCAATACTTTTCACCATCAGCAAGGGAACGGCAGGTTTGCTGGCACATGGTGAGGTTGTAAAGGAAGATTTGGTTTCCTGGGCAGGTAGACACTTCACTGGCTGGAAGGAAAATAAACTGATAAATAAGGGATGCAGGGTGGACAATTTTACCTTGACATTTCTGTCTTGATTTTTTTGGTTGTACAGCATGTAATGGTAAAAATACTCCCTTAGATTTTATTCCAGTACAAAACTACTCTAAGTCACAAGTAGTGCCAGCCTAACTTTGTTTGCCAGTTGAAGACTTCTTACCTTCTAATAGTCTCTAATTCCATACCCATAGTTGTTTCACAACAGAGAGCACAGCATAATAAACTCCCAGTCTCAACTATACTGTACTGCTGATGAAAAGCAACCACAATGATAAACAAAGACACTGCCAAGCAAAGACCATGGCTGGGATTCCATCAGGCAAAAATAGAAACAGCATTTTTATCTGAACCAGAGAAAGAGGGTGAAAGTGAAAAATATTGCTTTCTACTTTTAAATATGTCACCAAGAAATGACAGCTAAAGAATGGGACAGGAATTAGTAAACATTTTAAGCACTGACACTTTTAGGTCCATCAGATATTTCTAAAATACCCTAAAATCTCTTAACAATGAGATGACTGACAACAGAATTCAGAGGGAACATGTTGATTTCTTGTGGCTGATGAATTCCACGGGGATTCCTGTGCCACTACTTACTGCAGACACTTTTCCTCCAGCCTCCCAGGATGATCCCTTTGAACGCACAGGCTCTCGAGTAGGAGGACAGGGCAGCACACAAACACTCCTCATTGTCTTCACAGAGGCAAGTGTCATATTTACATTTCTGGAAAAAAAAAGAACAAAAGGGTCAGTAAGCCCAGAGGAAACCGATGGGCAAGCCCAACTCAGCTGCAGTGAAATATCCTGTGTCCTCTTTCTGATGTCATTTTTATTCATCCCCATAATCAGAACAATGGAAGGAATAGACAAAGACCAGAGACTGAAAGAGCTACTTCCTTTCATACACAAAATGTTTGGATGCTTATCCCAGCCTCAGCCAAGCCTCCTGAACCTTTAAGAAGTAGCCAGCCTCCCAACACCACCTTTCTTAAAGGATTTTGATGCCATTCTTTCTCAGTTACAACTTCAAAATGCAGAGGTCCAGCAAAATTCAAAGTCATAAAAGCAAAATATTAACTAGGACTATAAAGATCTTCACAAAATTTGAGTTCAGATCATGTTCCAGGTACCAGCAAAGGCTTAGGAATTTCTTCCTTTTTGCTCAGGTAAACTTCTCACTGCTCAACAGTGATGAGCACAGGGGAAACAGAAAACAGAGATTCTGGCATGAAAATTATTTAGTGTTACATTCCAGTTTACAAGAAATGCAGAGGAAATATTTACTTTATTTTTTTCCTGACTTAATAGCAACTATTAAGGGTAGACTTAAATTTTCTACACACACTAGTGTTACATTCCAGTTTACAAGAAATGGAGGAAATATTTACTTTATTTTTTTCCTGACTTAATAACAACTATTAAGGGTACACACACCTGCATCTCTTGAATCTTCTTTCCAGTTCAAATTTTCAATCCAACAAAAATGTGCATTAAATACAAAACATAAGAAACCAGAAGAACAAATTTACCTCTTTCTTCAACAGCACTCCAAAAGAATCTCATCACAGGAGATACTTCAAGGCAAAAACTTCACCAGCAGTAATGGGCAAGCTACTCACTAATGTCCCAAATATTTGAACTACAGATGTCTACAGTCATTCATCTGAAAATAAAGTAGTGCTAAGGAGTGGAAGGTTACAATACCTTATAGTATTCTGAAGGATCAATGGCTTCATGACATCTTGCAAAAGGGCCCTTTGGGTTTTTCAGCAGAGAACACCAATGCTCAGCATAGTTTGCTGTGAAAAAAGGAGAAAAAAATGAAATTGTATCATTATATTGATTCCATTCATCTTCCATGTGCCATGTCTAGTTGTGTTGTCACATATACAATACAAATGAGAGAACTGTGGGCACTCTGGGGAGTGGAGAAACCACACAACCACTGGACACCCATTTCTCTGCTCTGATTTTGTTATCTAGCAGTAGACAATCATAAAATCAAAAATCATATCTTACTGCTACAAATTGTCTACATGGAATTATGACAACCCTTTCCATTTGGGCCCAGAAAGCTAAGTTAAATACGGGGACAAATAATACTAGGAAATACAAGCTGCCTTTGCAGAATGTATAAAGTAATAACTTTGCTTCCTTACCTTCCAGCTCAGGATTCCTCTGCAATCATGCCCTGAACTTTCACTTCAATTTGATGGGAAATCAGTGCTCATATGTATATACTTTGCAAAAATTCTTGATTTGCATTATATTATTGATTTAAAGCTTTAAACATCACACTAGCTCTCACAAGCCTGCTGCAGTAACCTGCAGCAAACGCTGCTCCTTCTGGGAGAAACCATCCATCTGGTTTATTTGTGTGCTTACCACTCTCAATGCTGAGGCTGCAGGGGTCTTCCAGCTTCTCTGCCTGGTCTGCACAGGTGGACTGAGCTTTCCACGTGTTAGCAAAGGCAGATCCTGTAGCTTCGACCAGCCCACTCGTGGTTTTGAAGTCATCACCTGCCATCCCGTTGAAGTTTCCACAAAGACCTATTGGAAAAGAAGGTCAAAATTTACCCTAATTATTACTCATTCTAAAAGGTCAAAGGGAAAGGGACGACTTAGAAGCTCATGCAGCTGATTATTCTACCTCAATGTTAATGCATGCTAGAAGTTGTGAGGATTTAGGAGGCCTATTTTAAATCATTAGTCTCTTGAGAAGAATAATCTTCATGATTCTACCTTCATCTCTGTCTCAGGAGACGACCACCCTGATTAGTATTTTTTTATGCTTTCTGATGATATTAAAAGAACAAAATGCACTAAAAACCTGGTTTTGTGGATAGTTAAAAGTTAAACTGAAAAGGGAAAGGGACGACTTAGAAGCTCATGCAGCTGATTATTCTACCTCAATGTTAATGCATGCTAGAAGTTGTGAGGATTTAGGAGGCCTATTTTAAATCATTAGTCTCTTGAGAAGAATAATCTTCATGATTCTACCTTCATCTCTGTCTCAGGAGATGACCACCATGATTAATATTTTTTATGCTTTCTGATGATATTAAACACACAAAATGCACTAAAAGCCTGGTTTTGAGGATAGTTAAAAATTAAACTGAATACAAAAGTAAGGAATATTCTAAGAAACGTTCAGGTGCTGGCACAGGAGTGATAGCTCACTTCAATATGAAATAACAAAACCATATTTCACATTTCCTTGAGTCTGTTCTCCTCCAGTGTTGTGGTTTCTGCTTTTAGTTTCCTCCTCATGAATCAACTAGCAGCACAAATTATCACTAATGTAAAGAATACATGACTGAAGAGTCATTCTGTGGAACAGCATGGCTTTGCTTCCCATTTAAGTAGACACTTGCCTTGAAGCTTTCCTTGAACTGATTGATCCACAGTTGCAAACAGCTGCATGACTGGAGACAGCTGGATCTGCAGCTGAAGCCCAAAAGAAGTCTGCACAACAAGGTAGTAGGAAGATGGCTTGAACACTGAGAAGCTGGCTGAAAAACAAAACAAGAACCATGCAGTAAGCACACACATAGGCTGCCAAAAGAAACACATCTTATTAGATTCTAAAGTCTCTCCTGCCCTGAAAACTCTTAGATCAGGATCAAATTAATGCTTTTTAACTCTAAAAGCCTCTGGCCAACTAGATACAATGCCTGTCCTCACTAATTTAACAAGCTGATTACCTATAATGGCTCATCCCTCGAATCAGAACCAAATTCAAGTTTTCGGCAAAGCAGCTTCAGTCCTAACTGATCAATGCTGAGCAACCTGAAGAGCAAGAGGTTTTCTGAGAAAGTCCTCTCCCAACACTGTCATATTCAATAAGTAGTAAGTGTATGTCTAAAAGCCAATACAGAGCTAAATACTCCTAAAAAGTTAGATGCTTATACATAAATTCAGTCTGCCCATGATGTTCTCAGTGATGACTGTAAACTCACACTCATCATTCACCCCCGAGTTCTGCCAAAAATCTGAACAAACTTCATACGTCTCTCTGCTTCATTTGCCACCAAAAAAAATTCACTTGCCACCCTCTTCCCTTACCTGAGACATGGGGCACGTTCACTGTCATCTCATTGAGCAGCACGCTGCCATCTGGTCTGAAAACCACCACCTGGGAAACAGCAAAGAGAATCAAAGAGGTGCCAGGTACTGAGAGGAAAGAGAACTAATAAATAATAATAATAATAAAAAAAATAAGATGGGAGACATTTTGCACGTTTAGACTTCTGCCTAGAACTTAAAATCTTTGAAAGGAAGAATCTGTCTGCAAACTGAATGTGGCAACAGACCTGTAGGATACAAGGTCTTGCTAGCTGGTGTTTCACTGACATCTGCCTCCAGCAATTTATGGCAGTAATTAAATGCAAAGCTCATTTATATTGAGCATTTTGGTTTCAGCAAGTAGAAGGAAATATTGGGCCCTCAGGATCTGTAGCAGGTTCCTATTCCCTACAACAGCATGTGCCACAGCTTCAGGGTAAGGGTTTGATATGATCCTGGCAGGGTAAAAAAAGCAGTTTGTTAAACTTCCTCACAAATGCTAATCTGCACAAACAGGAATATAAAATGATGAGGCTTTGATTTGGTTTCATTTTGCTCCAGTTATGCTGGTGAGAACATGGAAAAAGCAGAAATATGGGAATAAAATTGTGCAAATGTATGTAAAATTATGTCTAAAAAAGAGTCTAGATATTCCCATAACCAAACAGAATATTCAAGTGAAGGAAAATATAACTATTTAAGAAGGTTGGATTGTATCAACATTCAAAGATGTAATTAAGACATTTTCAGAAGAGATCCCATCTATAAAATTTTATCTAAATAAAGCAAAATTCTGTGAGGGGAAGAACAATGGTGGTCTTGCTTCAGCCATCCTGGAACACACTGAGGACAAGCACACAGCACAGAGCAGAGAAAGGAAGAGAGGGAAATGTCAGCTTATTTGAATCTCATCTTTTGCTCTGTTTTGGTGTATTTTGAGTTCTTTGAGGCAGAAGCCTGAGTTGCTTTTCAGCCTGTCTGAGGTGCTTTGTTGATCCACAACAGCAACTCCAGAAGAATTAATTATCACTCCACAGTGAGCAAAATATGTAGTTTTCAGCATCTCCAGCAGGATCTACAGGGCACTTACATTTTTTTTGTTATCTGCTAGCAGCACAACACTCTTCAGACAGGTCTGCCTGTCCGTGGAGCCACAGGGAGCCAGTTCTGCCAGGAGAGCGTGACTGTCGTTTGCAGTGCCCTACAGTCACAGGGAAATAAAAATCCATTAGTCCAACCACAACTCTCACAAGATGGTTTCCAAAACAAAGTCTAAAGTCATGAGCTACAATAACAATCACTATAGAACTTGGATCTTAAGACCATCATTCCAGCCCTGGCTCTGGAAGCTGGATCACCTTGCAGACAAATTCAGTGATATGGTTTCTAGTTCAACAAGACCTTTGTCTTTCTATAGAACAGGCACTAGATATTTTAGGGACTGAGGAACAAAATAGCTGTTTAGCTCCTTTTCCCAGCTGACTTTGACACTCAGACACAGGAACATCTGTTCTAGATCTGGAGGAGAGCTTCTAACTCTGAGAACTGCCCATGTTTGCAGCCTCTATCCAAGCAGCCAGAGAGATCCTTTGATTTCTTATACATGAAGAACTCCACTGGATGAAGACAACATATGGAGTCTGCTGGTTGTATTTACTCTGCAAGAGAAAAGCCCCACAGCACATGGTACCTTGGCCAACACATAGTAGCAGTCTCCATGGAAGGTGTACTTCTTCCCATCAAAGGTGGTAATGTGGGAACCTCCTTCCACCGAACACGTGCCTGGACAGGGTAAATCCTTGCAGGTCCATCTGCCTGAATTGCAGGTGCTAGAAACAGAAAAGTCATTTTAAAATGTTTGTAGGTATTACAGGAGCTGAGAGCACTGAAAGCATCTGCACACCCAGCAAACAGCAAGATCTGCCCTGGGTGTTCTAAAACTCTATTTTTCATCATTTCCTTAAGGTTTCCCCTCAGCCAGATACAAGAAAACTGTTCAGTAAATCTGTTGTACAGACATGCAACATATATATCAACTTCAGGATGTTTTCAGGAAGTCTCCTACAAGTAAGCAGAAGATTGAAGAACTCAGATGCATTCACAGTCCTCTAAAGGATTATAAACAGCTCTGATCCTTACCATTCTTCACATTCGTTGGTGATGCTTTCTCCAGGTGAGTACTGCTTCCCATGCAGCTTGCAGTGGCACTGGCTGGCAGGTATGCAGCCTTGGGCAGTGATGTCATCATACACCGTGCCTGTAAAGCACAAAGTCAACTCTTCCAGCTCTTCCTGAGGTCAAACGTTTCCACAGAGGCAAGAATCTCAGAGGAGAAACTCTGAGGAGAAACTCTCCCAGGAGACACGCTCTCAATTCAGCACAGAAAGCAGAGGCTGAGGTTAAAACTAGGAAGAATGTGGTTTCTACTTTTTGTGACCTAAGACACCACTTTTAACCAGCTTTGAAAAATCTAAGTGCATCCATTTCTGTAACTATTCACAGATTGAAAACTAGTAGTTTTCAAAACTAATTAAAAAAACCTAATAAAAGTGTACAAGAACAATGGCAGAATTTTACATGTTTAGATTTTTCAGTCCTTCTAACATACTGTGATTGTTTTTCTATTAATATTTAAATAGAAATAAACTAGACTATTATTATAATTAGACTATTACTGTGATTTTTTTTTTCCCTAAGGTTGAGAGTAAATCTGAGAATGTTGCTCACTATCCTTCATCACGACTCCCTGGGCAAATGATGCCCAGAATTGCCTCAGAATTATTCTACCCAAAAAATCATGATTTTCTGTGTACTAGTCCACGTCAAGCAGTCAAAGGCAGATTTATCATCTGGCATTGTGCTGATATGTTTTGACTATAAAATCACTGATGAATCAATCAGTTATGACTGCCTTTAAAAAAAAAAAAAATCTTATAATTATGTTCCCCTGGTGGGGTGGGGCACAGGAATAATGAGTAGCAGTACTCATTTATGATATAATTTGTCTATATTTAATATTTTTGCAATGATCTCCTTTGCCAGAGCTCTTGGCTTTGTTCCATGTACAAGAGCTGGAGTAACACTTGCCTTCAGGGCAGAAACAACCATCCATGTAGTGTTCCTCACAAAGGCTGCTGGTCTCCAAGTGGGAGCAAGTGTCCATGCAGGGTGAGCTGCTTTCTTTATAGATCATGGTCTTAGGACAGGTCTTGGCTGAAGGAATCAGAAAGACACCATCAGTTATTTGAGGGTAAAGTCCATCATTCTACAAAAACCACTGATAACATCCCCTCTTCCCCTCAGGTCAGTGGTGTCCCAAGCCAGACACTATCTGGCAGAGCACATTTGTTTCTGAACTGCTTTCTCTTCTTTTTATATTTTCTTCTTTTGGTCTCAAATAGATTAAATTATCCCAGCATACAGGTTTTTTTTAAAGTAGGAACAGAATTTCTACTGCTGAGGAAGATTTCTCAACAACAAGGGTAAAAGAAGGAGAAAACATGCAGAACACAGTGCCCATTTCATTGCACTATTGATAGGAAATATGTGAGCTCTGTCTATAATTTTAAAAAGAATGAATGCAAACATTTCCCTGTGCTACATCCAGGAGAAATTGGGTTTCTTTATAAAACTGATGCTGCTGCTTACGGCAGAAGTGCTGCGTCCTCCACTCGCCCGGGCGGCCGCCCGCGTGCGAGCACTGCCGGGAGTACTCCGAGATGGTGCTGCAGAGGCAGAAGGAGTCCTCCTCCCCTCGGCAGGCACACTTGTCCTGCATGCAGGCTTGGATGTACATCTCCAGCTGGAGGCGTAGGCGACAGTCAGCAAAGGCAGGGGAAGTCAGCAGCCTCTCACACTCATCCCGCTGCAGAGGAAGAGGAGCAATATTTAAGAGTTATAAGCACCAGAGTTTCTAGATTCTCCCTGTCTTGTCAAAAAAACTGTTTTCTTTTGAACAGCAGCAGTTATTCAAGTAAAGAAGGAAGAAACCATTTGCCCTGGAAGGGACAACTTCCCATCTCCTTACTCTAACCCCCCACGGCACAGGGATGTCTCACTCAAGGGAGGTTCACCACTAGGAATACTTACATGGTCGTTACAGCTTGGGAGAGCCTGTGTTTCGTCAGGGTCTTCACATTTGGCATTGGGTTTGCTGATTTTCTGTAAATTCCCATAGGTAATTGCGTTGTAGCTTTCATCTATGAGAAAAAAAAAATATAAAAAGGACGTGTGAGCGCCGCAGGAATGGACAAGAAGAAGCATCAGATTCCTGGGACAGTATTGAACAAGGAAAATAGATACTATGGTATCAAATATGCCCATTAAACACAGGCCTCTGGTTTGACTTATATCTAAGTTTGCTTAAAAATTGAACGTGGTAAAGAAGGTCATTAGAGAAAAGAACACTATGACATGACTCATCTGAAATAACCTCAGACCAGGAATACAGGACTGGAGCATAAATGCTTATTCTGGGGCAATTACAGAACTCTCCCAGGTGAAACTGTCTCTCCTGTGGTGCTCCCATGCACAGTGCTTATCAGTCTATCTTCTGTGGTAGCTCTCAGTGTGGGAGATAACTCACCTCCATTGATAAACTCATTGTAGATTGGGATTCCATTGTAATCCCCACAGAGCCCACAGGTACGGTTGTTAAATTTGCTGTCCAGCTCCACCTAGGCAGTGGAAAGAAAAAGGAAAAACAGAAATATCATCTAGAGCATGAAGATATTCCATGCTTACTCAAAAGGGAAGTTGCTAAATGACAGAAGTGATGGGGAACCCAAAACTCTTTGAGAAACAGCTACTGGAAAAGAATTTGTAACACAGATGTAAAAAGTGCCACAGAAAACAGAACGGACTGAACTCCTGTATTTTAATAACAACAGTACCACTGTGCTGATAAAGAGGTAAACAAAAGTTTTGTTAAAATCACAGGATTTATTTTTTCCTCCTTTTTTTCCCCCTCTACTGAGATAAAACTTAAGGTTTGGTATGGATTAGGAAAGGTGATGGTGGCAGTTCTTTAAAAGACAGATGAAGGAAAATGCAGCTTGGATGGTGAGGGTGCTGTTTCAAAACCATCAGCTCCTTCTCAGAAAGCTCCTTCTCCCTCTCCTGAACCAGTGAGATCACCTGCATGCCATGCTGCCACCTCCACCACACTGCAGAAAAAGGAACTTTTGGGGTTTCAAATCAAGTACCAAGAGTGTCAGTTGGCTGAGTCAGCCTAACACTCTGAAACTCTGTTTGGTATAGAGCAGCCTGTTAAACACAGGGAACACCAGGGAAAAAAAGGACTTGGCTCATACATACCATCAGTGCATCTTCCTGGTTCCAGATCAGAATCAGGCCTAATTTGGCATAAACCTTGGTGTAAATGTCATTGCTCTCAATGAGCACACCAGAGCTGTAGTAAGGGGTCTTCACGCTGGAAAGAGAGAGACTTTGAGTTAGCAGAGACCATAAGGGATGACATGAATGTCTGTGATAAGCCAAATACCCTAAAGAATAGAGAAATCAGTCTCTGTCTGCCTTATCCTAGCTGGACAGGGTGCCTTGTTTTAATGAGGCATGAAATCCTCTCTCTCTGACATTTGATGTGGTAACTCATTGCCTTTAAAAGGCAAAGCAATTTCAGAGGCAAAGCCTCCCCCAAGGGCACATTTTTTTTTCAAGAAAAAAAGCCAAAATGTCAGATGTCTTCAGCCTAATGGAAGGAAAATCCATCAGCACTGTGGTTCTAACAGGGGATAGTCACTCACTATTTTACTTCAGTAAAAGAAGGAACAACATAAACAGGAGCTTTTCTTTCCCAAAAAGACCTGACAAATATTTCAGATTGAAAATTCCTTTGCATGGATCTTGCTCCTGAAGAGAGAGTTGAAAAGAACAGGCAGGTACAGGGAGTGACAACACAAGTTTGGAAAGAAAGGGATGTGTTAAGAGGAATTTAATAGATTGTTATAGTAGTTTTTTTTTTCTGTTGACAGGACCAAGCTTGTCAATGGTGACAACAAGAGCTGTTCATTGGACAGGAGATGTTTGGTAGAAGGTTGAGCATGGACAGTTTTGTTTGACAAAGAATCAATTAATGACATCTCTCCCCTGCTCTTGGGTGTCTGCTTTCCAGGGCACTATGCAATAAATCACATTCTTGAGTTTCATTCAGCAACAAGGGGACTGTGGCAAGGGTCTCATCCTACAAATTCCAGACAACTCCAGTTCAAACAGATGGAAACTGGAATCCAGCCAAATAACCAGTTCATTTTCTACAGGTTTGCCAGTATACTTGTTACCTGTCAGGATTCATGTGTCTCTGTGCACATCTCCTCACTAGTCTTTGGACTGGGAGAATTTTATTTCCTAATTTGCTGTCACTGGGATTTTTCCAAGTAATTACTTCAGGCATTTTAACATGGCCAAATGACTCATATCTAAATAAAAGGAACTCAGAAGCCATTATTTCTACTTTTGGCTGCATTGTTCATCATCTGGACAAGGAGGCCTTTAAGAGATCATGTTTTTGGAGAGGGACTATAAAACACTGGGCAGCTTTTCAGCTTTCACCTGGCACAGCATGGAATATCGATCTTTTTTCCTAATACTAGGACATTCCATCAATGTGGATCAGGTGCCAAAGTACAAATTCACACATTTTTCTACTTTACAGTTTTCACTTCAGTGCTGTGAGATGTTATTTTACATGACAAAGGATCGTGTGTCATTTAAAGAGCAATAGGGGAAATTAAGTTCTACAAAAAACTAAATCCCCTATACAGCAAAAAAACTATTCAGAAGGGCTCTGCTGATTTGTGAACACTGTCTAAAATAATTTTAAAAAAAAAAAGCCTGGTTTAAGAAAATCAATTTTTAAAGGATTTTTAAACTTGTTTTTAATTCATTTTTTTCTGAGACCTGAGCACACAATAAAGGGGTTTTTCGATTTGGAGCAAGAATGTGTTTTTTATAGCTTCTTGTCATTTTGTTGTGCATTCTAGTATGATCCTTGGAAAACTGAACGTTATTTTCTATCTTTGAACAGATTTTGATTTCAGTGGCCTTCAAAATCCAGAGCAAAAGCTGAATTCCAAGCAAAACCCAGTCCCACAAAGGCAATAGAAAGGATTTTTTGAAAATGACACTAAGATATACTAAAAGCCAGTTTCTTCCCTCATCAGATATATGTCTTAACCATTGAGTTGCTTTGGTGTGAGTACACAGACACACTGAAAGGACAAGCTGGTGATAGGGAAGGCTCAGCTAAGACACTACCTGGGCACCAGTGATGGTATCACACCAGTTCCTTGTGCAACCATGCTACAGGAGGAGAAAAATCCTACAGCTCACAGTGAAAAAGGACATACTGCCACATGGAAATTGGTGTCAGTTTTGACCTACATTGTGTCTGTTATAATCCCTTGAAGAATGGCCATTGGACCTTAAAGAGTTATGAAATCAGAAAAAAAACCCATCTCTCTTCTGCCACAAAATAAGAGAAAACAACCCTGGAGAATTTCATTCTCCTATCTGAGGATTTGCTAGACCATCTGCTAAGGTAAACTCAGGGTAATGCCATAAAACAAGCTGAACTGGGCCATTTGGTGCCAGCAGATCTGGCTCACAAGCTGCATTGTTTGCTGTAGGACCAGAGGAAAAATAGTTCACACCAATGTCTTGCTGACTTGCATTTAAATCACCCCTTAGCCCAGTCTAGAGATGAATAATACCAAAGCTTTTCTCCAAAGCCATTTTTATGCTGGATTTCAAAGGGCTTTTTTGTTAGCTCGTGGAAATTCTTGTAGCAGTTACCTTAATGCTCTACAGGAGCTGAGTAAAGAATCAACCCCCTCTCTCTTTTCCCACCACATTTCTCTGAAATACTGTTACACCAAAGGAACTTACATCCTCCCGTCCACCACAGCCACTTTTGGTCTGAGGTACACCGTGAAGTCCTTGATTGTCAGCAGAATATACTGGATCTGGGGGTGGTTGTTGTGGCTCAGAGCACGTTGGACGTGGACAGAGAACTCCTTGTAAGCCCCTCGGCAGTCAGAGGCGAAGTTGTACTCGCACACGCCCGGGAACTGGTAGACATCTCCATCAAAGGTTTTGAAGTGGTTGTTTCCCCAAGTGCTGCAGACATAGTGGTGATGGTTTCTTGTCCTTCCTGTTAAGTGATGAAATAAATAGGCATAAAAAAGGTGAAATGAATGAGGTAGCATCAAGAAAAGGTAAGTTTTGCCTTTTGCAGTAGGAATCACTCGTAATTACACACACAGTGATTCCACTGATCTCAAGCTTGATCAAGCAGCTGCCTATAAAGCAGAAAAGATGTGAATCTCTAATAGAAAACAAGACATTAACAAATACCCCTGAGACCTGGGTGTATCATAATCCTCTCTGAAGTGAAGGAACTTGTCTACATGAGGTGGGGAAACTTCACCCTCTGGCCCCTAACAAGCTGGTGCATCACTGCAATGGAGCCAAACGTGTATTTAATCTGAATTCCACTATTATTTTTAACAATATTAAATATTTCTAAGAGCTGTTTACTTCCCTGTTACAATATGTAACAGAAAGGAAACAGAATTAGGAATCCAAGAAAGCATTACTCTTACTCTGGAAGGTAAATAGGTCGAATTTTATGAAAAGATTTGTGCACAACAGGAGTTTTTTTAGGAATTATTTTTTCTAACAGAATTCCTGATTCCTATTACTACAGAACAGTCATCCTTCAGAAGGTAGGTCAGAAAAGAACCATGGTAGAAAAAACCCCACCCATTTAAAATATTTTCTTCTGCAATAGAAAAATATGAAAATTATAATTCTTCCCTTCCCAGCCATCTGTGCCAAAAAATAATACAAATTAACATAGTATGGGATAAATCTCAAGATGCTGTAGGTTAGGTGTGAACATTACCCCAACCCGGATCACCGTGCAAAGTTCATCACCTCCTCCTCCTAAAATAGTTTTCAGCATGAGAGCTCCATTTCAAACCAAGCTGATGCCAACCAGACTAAATTAGAGCTTTTCCAGGAGGATAATTAATGTCCCAATTGACAAAACAAGCTTTGTCCAATGTTACTATATGGATTTCTGAAGAAAGTACTTATGTCATTCCAAAACAATTGAAGGCACAATCAGCCACTTTCTTCATTACTGAATCAATCATCTCCCCAGACTCCTGTAGCTGCTTTCTGCCAAGTAGTTGCCATGCCTAGGAAAGTCTCGATAAGTGGAAAGAAAAATAACTGAAATTGTTTCCCAAGCACATCAAACTAGAGAATAATGCAGCAGATCTAGGTCTTAATCTCTCCAAAGAAAGCAGTATCTGCCTACATAGCCCCAGCATTTGAAAGATTAAGAAATTTGAGGTACCTTCAAACTCCAGTGCATTATTTAGATGCACCTCTAACTCTAACTTCTACCTCCTTCTAACTCTGCAGTGGTATTTTAACTCTCCCCCTCTTTTCCAGCAGGCAGTGGGAACTGAATTTCTAGTTTGGAACTGGCATTTCTAGAGCTTACCTTTCCTGATTTCGTTGGCACAGGAAAGTGCCATCCAGAGTATGAAGAGGATGGCAGCTCTTAGCCCCATGGTGGCTAAGGTGGGTGAAGTGGGAACCTCCACTGCAACCTTCTCTTTATATAATATCCCCTAATGCAATCGATTCCATCCCAGAGGAGGAGATACAAAGGGAGGAGGAAAGAGGAGGGGTGAAAAAATAGGCGTGATATTTACAGGAGATAAGAAGTAAACAGACAGGTATTTTTCACCATAAATGAAGGAATTCAGTATACAGGAAACGGGATAATATTGATTCAGTAATCATGTAATTTTTTATTGGCCTGTTTCATCTACAGGATGCTACGCTGTTAAAGCTTTCAAATGGTCACGCCAAGTTCAACCTTCAGCAACTCCTACAACAAATAGTGAATTTTGGAGTGGCTGAACAAAGAAGTCCCTTGAAGGAAGTTTAGGATGAGATACTTTCAAATGATGGCTTCAAAGCCAAAGGATTTTTCATATTTCAGCCTCCCACGGAATGATTTCTGTAAAAATTAAACCATGCTTGTGAAGCTCCTTGTAGACAACAGGAAGCCTTAGAAATAAAAATTATGCACAATAAAATTATTTTACAAGCAATTGTTGGTTTCCTTTCATTTGTAAAGGTCTAGGAAACATCTTAAGATACAGTCTAACACCACATATCATGGCCAAAATATAACTGAGGTGGGGTGACAATGTAAGCTCAAGGAATTCACAACAAAAGAGAAGCTCTATCAAACATTGTCACGATGGAACAGAAAGTCCATTGAAAAGGTTGTAGAAACTCACAACATGTTAAGCTTAAAAAATAAACAAATAAAGGGAAAAGGGGAAAATATCAGTGTCCAGAGAGAATAACAATTGTTTTCAGACAGAATCCCCCTAAACAGCCAAAAGTGCCCAGGCTAGGCTGTATGTTTTACTCATCTAAGGTTTCTCAGTGTCTAGAAATCTCTAATCCTCTTAATAGTTCAGAGTGTTGCTTACTTTGATCTCTCAAATTAGAACTTTTGTGTTTCCTAAAACACCACAGAAAGTCTCTTTTATTTGTTATTTTTATGTCAAGTCCAGCCCAGCCTCAGCTCGAACATCTTCCTGGTTTCCATCAATACATCTCAAAAGGTTTTAGATTGTCTTCTTTTCCTGCTTGAAGATACAGATTTGGTACTTCTCTCACCCTTACCCAGGGGATCATTCACTCAGCACTCATGACTGAGATAAAGCAGTCACCCCTTTCTCCTTTGGGAGATATTTTCCTCATTAGAGGAATATAGAATTGATTTTTCATCTTGGAAAATTAAAATAAAACCAGGAATGACCAGTCAGAGGAAATCATTTAGAGAAAAGAAAAAAAGAAATAAGAAAAACTATGGCCATAGTTTCCCTGGTGGTTGGCTGCTTTGCCAGGTCCTAACTTATGACATTTCAGAGACATCTCCAGTCTTGGAATTTTCTGTCCTTTATGCCACCAAAACTCTTCATTCAGAAATATTGCCTGAAAATACTTAAGAGATTCCCAAATACTTTATATTGAGCATTTCTTTTCTTCCATGTGTTTTTGCAGATATTCTCCTGTCTGGAACTACTATTGCCCCACAAAAAACCAACCAAACAAAAAA